CCATCCTGCCCAGCTCTTTTTTTTCACTCATGACTTTCTAATCTTCTAGTCTTAGATTTGGATTTATCCAAATCTATCCCAAGATAGCTGCTAAAAATAATGACCAACAAATACATGAACTGATATCACCAAAAAACATGATGAAGGCTAAATGCAATATTTTTCTTTTCCCATTTTTTAAATCTGAAGTTATTTCAAGTCTTTACTGCCCCCAGAGTATTTTACAAATCACTTCATTCATTAGATAATTTCACCTCATACTTTATGGAAAAAACTTTATTCTTACTTGACAACCCCTCTAACTTTTTGCTACCAACTCCTGTGATCTACAAGCTTACCTTCATGTGTGTGTGTGTGTGTGTGTGTGTGTGTGTGTGTGTGTGTTTCCCCCCTCTTATTGCCTCCAGTCCTGAGAGGAACAGGTACTCGTTTCCTTGTTCAGTCAATTCCTAACCCATATTCTGAATTCCTAGAGGCCAATTAACTGACCTCCTGTCCCTAATCTCACTCATTTTCTCTGTCCTTCAACTATTTGGGTACTTGTATGCTAAGTACTGAAAACAAAATAGTAAAATAGACAAAATCTCAGGCCCCAAAGGTGCTCACTTTCTTATTCAAGAGACAAAGTAGATAAAAGATCGAAGTAATACATGCTGAGAGGGAAATACACAAGAAGGGCTAGAAGATTAAGTAAGAGAGGCTACTCATATTTTGGATGGTCAGGAAGGGCTTTTTTGAGAAGGTGTATTTTGAGTAAAGACTTCAAAGCAGTAAAAGAGGAAACCATGCAAATACCTCAAGGGAAATCATTCCAAGCGAATGGAATATTAAGTGCAAAATCTCCAAAGCAAGAATGTCTTTGTGGAAGACCTTGAAAGAATAGAACAGCAGGAGAAAAAGTGCCTGGTGAGGGCCAAATTCAGCCTTTCCCAGGTAGGCCATAGCAGGGACTCTGGATGTAGTGTACAGAAATCATTGCAAAATTTTGAGTAGGAGAATGATATGACTAACATTTAAAAGACCCTTTAAAGAAGGATTACACTGGCTAGTACGTACAGAAGTGACTATAGAAAAGCATCAATTATTTTTTTTTACTTTTTTTTGGTTTTTTTTCTCCGGTACCGGGAACCGAACTCACGACCTTGCGCTTGCCAGGCAGGCGCTTTGCCCCTGAGCTAAATCCCCAGCCCCTTTTTTTACTTTTGTATTTTATTTTTTTTATTTTTTGAGACAGGGTCTCACTGTGTAGTTCAGGCTGACCTTGAACTCGCTTATGTAGCCCAGGTTGGCCTCAAACTCACTCCTGCCTCAGCCTCCCAAGTACTAGGGTTATAGTAGTGCACCACCACACCCGGCCCCTCATTACTGCATTTTAAAACATTGTACCCTCTCTCACCTGTGTTATTCTTAAAAATTGTTTTACTCACTCTAAAAGAAATAAAATGGCAAAAAGTCTGTCTAGTAATCACTTTATATCTCCTCACACACTCAAACTTTTTTTTTTTTCCCGGTACCGGGAATCAAACTCATGACCTTGCGCTTGCCAGGCAGGTGCTGTGCCATTGAGCTAAATCCCCAGCCCCCTCAAACTTTTTAAATGTGCCCTACAACGTCCTTACCCTTGTATTCCCCTATTGTCTTCAGCCTACTACTACCTACTACCTCCCTACTGCCGTTAACTGTCCTCATAAATGTACATAACATCCACATAGCCAAAGGTAATGTTACTTATCAGCTGTCATCTTACTAAGTCTCGTGAATATCTGGTACTACTAACTACTGCATCCTTCTTTAATCTCTTCTCTAATGGCTTCTATCCTATTACCCTCTAAATTTATTTCTTACCTTTTCGGGTGTTTTTTGTCTCTTTCACGACTGCCTCTTGGATGCCTATTCTTTAAAGTATTGGTGTTCTTTGTGTTCTTCCTGCGCCTCTCAACTGCTCAATCTTTGTTCCAAGTCTCTAGGGGCCAAGTGGTTGGCCTTCCTTCTCTTTTACTGCATTACCCCATCTATCCTTCAAACATTCCTTCAACTTATACAGTATAACTAGGAAATGCTGCTAAAAATCCCTAATTCATACCTAATGCTTAATATAGGTCTGCATCTGATTGTTTGAAATGATTGCCATTCATTTTTTCTTTTTTAAAATGGACATATATATTTAACATATTAGTAGATATATAGTTACATATGAATACTGTACATATATTGATACACATATTAGAAAAAGTACAAATGAACAGCAACCACATATTTTTATATTTCTTGCATTTAGAACACTGCTTGGCATGAAATATATTCTTAACGTTTCTTGAGCTGAATTCTACACTGTTCTGTATCTTTATCTATCTTTAAATAACTTTTCTAGAGCACATATTAATCCTTTAATAGCTACAGTACAAACTACTTAGCCATATACCTCATGATTGGGCCATCATCGATCTCCACATTTTCTTTCCTACAATGTTCAGTCATTCTTTTGGAGCCACAGGATCACTTTCTGCTACATCCAAGGTACCATACACACTTCTGCTTCTTGGTTTTTAATGTACACTGTTCCCTTTATCTGTAGGACCCTTCTCCAGTTCACTAGCTCTCCTAATCTTGGCCCAAATGCCAACTCACATTGAGTTTATGACCTGACCCACTAATCTTTACTGTAATACTTGGTATACTATCATATTACCTATTGATATTTTTCCCTTTCATTATATAATAAAATAATCTATTTTATTTATTACCTATTTGAACTTTTAAAAGTTTTTTAAGGGTATAAATGATGTTTTATTTTTAGGGTTCTAATAACTTCATCAAGGACCCAGTACATATTAGGAACTTGATAAATGTTTCTTATGATAAATCTATTAAGATGTGGAATTTAATAGAGAGGAATAGATGGGTTTTTTTTTTTTTTTTTTTCATCGTTCTTGACAGACACCAACTACAGAAAATTTTCCCTTTTCTTTTTTTGGGATATATGCTAACATGAGCAAAGGCTTCTTTTCATGCAGATAATGCATTTAATTACCAGTTGACTGCCACTGGCCCCAGAAGAAGAGTAGGAGTTTAGAGGAATTTCTGTTTCTGCTTTAACCTGAGAACATCTCAATGATCTACTTTTCTAACTTTGTTTCCTCAACTTTCCATAACAGAACTGTCAAGGTTTTATAATGAACCTAAGTACAAGATAGGAAGAATAAAAGGTAGGAATTTTTTTTGTTTAGTTTCTTTTTTAAACAAGAGTTATTATGTCTTAAATCTGAACTGGCAATAAAGGAAATTGAAATTCTAAACTCAGTAATTTCAAAAGCTCTGTCATATCATGGCCTTTTTCCTCCTACCCATCTCTAATGAAGTCTCATAGCCCACAAGCCCAGTTATTAACAAAAGGATGAAGTAGTTTGTAAACCAAGAGGATAATCACAAAGATCCTCTACCTTCAAATGCCAGTGCAGAAATACTTTAACCTAGTAGGGCTCAGACTGCTATCCTGAGGAAGGCCTATTTGTCAACTTTATCTTTGGATAGATTCTAGGAACTCTGCTTTTAAAAACATTTCCTAAGTGATAAGGTTGTAACTACTGTGCCAACCTACTCAGACTGTATACTGAGAATGAGGTGAGTCTGTTTTCCAAGTCTGACATTTTGGCTGACACAGGGTACCTATGCAAGCAGCTTCTGAGTTATTAAAAAAAAGAAAACTAAACAAAACCGTAAACTTGCACTCTCAAATGGAGTTCCTTATGTTCTCCACACATGATAGAATTTACGAAGCAGGAATAAAGGTCCAGCTTTAGAAGACTAAAAATAGATTTCTCTAGACTCTCCTGATGTATTTTCCCATGAATGACATGGTTATGTACGTTTACCATGGCACTACAATAAATCATAGCTATGAGTATGTTTGTATGTTGAGTCCTGTCAGTTGTAAAGAATTATAGAATGTGTGGGTGGAGATGGGGCTCTGCAACACTATGAAGTAATGATATTATACAAGAAAACAACCCTCTCATCATTTCACAAATGTGTATGTTAATAAATTCTTTTTTTTTTAATCTTTTTTGAGATAGGGTCTCTCTATGCAGTTCAGGTTGGCCTTGAACTCACTTTGTAGTCCAGGCGGGTCTTGAACTCACAACAATCCTCCTGCCTCAGTCTCCTGAGTGCTGGGATTACAAGTGTGTGCCACTACACCCAGTATGTTAATAAATTATGATCTTTAATAACATGGAAACATGGAGCATAATATCTGAGGACAGAATTTTAAATGGAATAAAGTTGGTATTATGAGAAGTTCATTGCATTATCCTTATGTTTCTAATTGTGCTGCAGATCAATAAAAGACTCATCAGGGACCAGTAAAAGACATGTGCTTAGGAATTACTAGATTCAGTAATTGTCATCTTCTAACTAACCTTCATTTGGCAGACACTGAAAATACTACACAGAAATATTATGTATACAGGGACAAGTTTTAAAAGCTGAAACTTTTAGTAAGTCATACAGAGTTCACTGAAATAGTCTATTTTAACTCTCACAAATAATGGAAGACTATTATGAATTAATAACAAATTTAGTCCTAAGATATTTTAAGATCTGCAATCTTGCCAGCCAAATAACAAAAAAATCCCAAAAAACAAATTAGCTCAGAGATGTGATACTTCTTTCAGTCTGTCATAAAACTAATTGTTTTTACATTTATTTCCTCCTTATACACAAACTAAACACTGATATTTAAAAGTTATATATGGAAAACATCATTATCTTTCTTAAACACAATCCTCTTAAAATGATTCCATCAAATCAACTCTTCCCACACATCACAGTATTTTTTAAAAAGGCCAAATAAAAACTTCAAATTTCATCCATTAATACGTCTGTGTGTTTCACTAACTGTAATTCTCCAGTTTCTAAAACTATAACATGATTCAGTTGCAAAGGGTTCTCTCAAATCCTATTTATTAGGAAAAAGGACCACTTTCAAAAGAATCACATACCTTCTGCTGTAATTCTTTTACTGCGATATCTCTATCCATGCATGCCTGTCGAAAGGCTTCATATGCTTTATTGAGTTGCTCACCAATGTTTTTATCCATTCCTCTTCGTCCTGTAGCATTACTATAAAGGATGGAGGAAATGACAGGTCTGCAAAACAATCATAACAATTTGACAGTTATTAAATTACATAAATTTCATTTAAAAATGCATCTTAAGATAGTCCTATACGGTTTTACATTAATATTACAGTACCACATACTATAAAAGTTTATAAAGGCATAAACATTTCATCTAAAATCCTGATAAAAAATATTATGAAACTATTTTTAAATATTCTTAACTCATGTTCCAATTTATAAGAGGGTTCCAGCTCATAAAAATGCTACTTTGAGAATAAGAATCTATATAAACTACAAATTGAGAAATATAAAAGGGCACTCTATTATTAATACTTTATTATACAAACATTTAACACAATTAGCAATGTGGGAAGGGATTTCATTTTACTAAATGGACAGTTATTCCCGTTTATGAGGTGAATTCTTGCTACAATGAAATTAGGGCAAAATTAAATAGATAATAAATGTTTGGGATGGAGTTCACACTGTTGTTATCATAGAGCAATTAAAATGTGTGAAAATGCTCTTATTTTAGCACAAAATCTAGGGAGAAGTGCTGTTAGACTGTACATTACAAAGGAAAAATCACATCCTTTCAGTCCTACCCAGCCCCACTACATATTAGTTTTCTAACTTCCCTGCTGTTTCTGAAATATAGGTGATTTGCTCAGAGGAGTTAATTTGGTTTTAACATCTCAGTTTGTATAACATATCCACTAACCACATCCCTTTGGCTCTGAGCAGAGGGTTCCCTGATCACTCTGATTCTTCTACAACACAAAAATCACAACACAGACTTTTCTCTTATACCTCTAAAAATTACAGAATAGATGAAGTTCTTTATTGGTTATAGAGGTACCAAATTACTTCACCTTTTGGGATATTTTTCATAATCTCAATCTTTAACATGTCATAACACCTTTCATTTTAATTTTGAGTACACAATGCTTCTTTCAAAAACTTCTTAGTATTTTTAAGGGATAAATAATTCATATAAAAGTCATTTTAGATGAGATTGTGAGTGTTCAGGGTGGTATGGCGTAGACTAAAATTCATCTTAAAGTGTACATTTTATTTATTTTTATTTATTTATTTATTTTTTCTGGTACTGGGAATTGAACTCACGACCTTGCGCTTGCCAGGCAAGCGCTGTGCCATTGAGCTAAATCCCCAGCCCTCTAAAGTGTACATTTTAGTACTTTTTAATATATTCACTGTTTTGCAACTACCATTGTTAGCTAATTTCAAAATCTTTAGTATATCAAAAAGAAACTGTGAATCCATTAAAAGTACCAATTCCCCTTTTCTTCCCCCATCTCCTAGCAACCAGTAGTAATCTGTTTCTTTCTCTGCAGATTTGCTTCTTCTTGACATATCTTATAAATGAAACCATACAATCTTTGGCCTGTATGTCTTCTTTCACACAAGATATTTTTCAGGTTTACCCAAGTTGTAGTGCTAACAGTAATTCATTCCTTTATATGGCTGAATAATATTCCACTGTATTAATACACAACATTTTGTTTACCTATTTCTCAGCTGATGGACATGTGGGTTGCTTCTACTTTTTGGCTACTAAGAATAAAGCTACAATGGACATTTGTGTACATAATTGTATGTGAATACATGTGTTCAGTTCTCTCAGATGTATGCCCAAGAGTAGAACTGCTAGGTCAGCAGGTTATTTTATGTTTGATTTTTTGAGGGACTGCCAGCCTATTTCCATAGTAGCTGTATCATTTCACATTTCCACTAACAGTGAACAATGGTTTCAATTTGCCACATCCTCGCCAACACTTCTTTAGTCCCATTTTAAAATCATAGCTGCCCTAGTAGTTATGAAATGGTATCAAACTGTGGTTTTAATTTGCATTTCCCTAATAACTCATAATGTTAAGCATCTTGTCATGTGTTCACTGGCCATTTATAACCTTTGAAAAAAGTATCTATTCAAATCTTTAGCCCATTTTTTAAATTGGCTTGTCCTTTTATTGTTAAGTTGTAAGAATTCTTTATATATTCTAGAAAATAAGTCCTTATCAAATATATGATTTGCAATTTTTTCTTTCATTCTGCAGATGTCTTTTTGTCCCTTCTTTGCTCTTTTAAAAATATCCAAAGTGTATTTATTGGGATGATTTTCTCTCTTGACTCAGGATGATTTTAGTGGTGTTTCCTCCAGAAGAAACATTGTTCTATAAGCCTTGCTCTTCTTCTGTAGGCTGACAGTGGATAATAAAGCAGCTAACACAAACTATTGTTTGTATATGGCCAAAGGCTATGGTAATATTATAACATCCTGATCATTTCACATACATGAGGTAGGAATTGGAGTTCTGCACCAGGGATTGCTTATGTTTTGTCTTCTCTTCTGCAGAAGATGAAAGAGTCTTTGAGAGTACTATGTTCTCATGGGAAGACTGTTATAGCTGATAAATAGCTCTTACTACTTTTTTGATAGTGTTCTTTGACACACAGCGTTTTTCATTTCTGTTTTGTTTTGTTTTTTTTCTGGTACCGGGAATCGAACTCACGACCTTGCACTTGCCAGGCAGGCGCTGTGCCACTGAGCTAAATCCCCAGCCCCAAAAGTCTGCTCCTTTAGCCAGGCATGACGGCACATGCCTGTGACTCCAGCACTTGATTTGTTTTTTTTTTTTTTGTTTTTCATTTTGATGAAATCTACTTTACCTATATTTTTCCTTTGTTTCTTAAACTTTTGGTACTGTATGTAAGCAATTGTTTAATTCAAGGACATACAGATTTTCATCTATTTTTAAAAGCTTTATAATTTTACCAGTCACATTTGATCTCTGATCCACACTGAGTTCATCTTGTATATATGAGGTAGGTTCAGGTTCATTCCTTTGTGTAAGACTATCCAGGTGTTCCAATGCCATTTGTTGAAAGGGCTATTCTTTTCCCATTGAATGGCTTTGGCACTCTTGTCAAAAAACAAGTAGCCATAAATCTCAACAGTTTTTCTTTTTTGGATGTTGGCATGACCTTGTACATGCTAAGTGCATGCTCTACCACTGAGCTGCCCCTCCCAAACCCCCACAATGACCTTTTCAATACACAAATACAAGAAATACTTCAATCCTAAAGCCAAAGTCTTTCATTTCAATCCACTAAATACATTTTTAAGTCATTTACCAGGCTCAATAAAAAAAGTTATGTGTTTTATTATAAGGATCACAGTATTTTTATCTCTGAAGAGCTGAAGGAAGCGTAATTCTTTAGCCATTCCAGTTTGGAAGTTAGTTCCCACTAGTATGCCTGATAGATGAAAAAGATAGAATTCTGTTCGGATAATTAACATGGCTGGGACTTGTCTAGCCATAGATACTATGGCAATATAAGTAACTAGCATTAATACTGAGTGTTGCTTTTAGTATTTCAGACACTTTCTCATCAAAAAAGTATTTATAAAAGTACCTAAAAAATTAAAAATAAGTACATAAAGAGGACAAGAAAAGATGAAATATATTAAAGCAGAAATTAGATTTTGAAGTGGCTAAATTATTTGTTATCTTTAAGAACTGCACATGCTGTCAAACTGTCAATGGAAAGCACATCTTTATTTTGAAACCTGGGACAAATCGGAGGCTTGAACTGAGACTCTGTATAAGTTTCCTGATTTGTTCTATTACTCACTGACCCTTTATTAGAGGCCATTAAATCTTCTGTACCAAATTCTTTCTCTCTAGTACAAAAAGAATAGACTCAATTTCTAAGGAAATTTCTTGTTCTTTATTTTTTGAGTCTGTGAGTTAAAAATGAATGTCTAGTCCATTAAAAAGGAGCATTCTTGTTTTTAAAAATGTAAATGTGGCATTAAAAATAGCTGCATCATATGCAAGTAAATCATGTGGAGCCTTCACTTCAGGTCCTTGAATTAGATCATACAAATGTCACTAAGAGGAGCTGCTGAGTAAATTCTACACACACACATAACTAGCTTCTGAAATAAGAATGAATGCTGAGAAATAAGTTTTGGTTGATATACATATAAATAAATAAATAAGTAATGTACTTAATTCTAATTTTACAGTCAAGAAGATAACTGGAATTAGATCAGTAATACTCACAAGAGAAAAAAGAAAGTCTGTGAGATCCAGCTAATTAAACTGGACCAATTTCAAACATTAACACCCTGAACTTTAAAGCCACTTGTTCATCTATTTTTTAAGCATTTGTTAAATGTAAAACTAATTTCACAATGAAAGCAATTACATTTCAATTACATTTTGGTAAGCTTTGTCTAAAATTTGCCAGGCTTCAGGGGAAGGTTTTGTATTTAAAGTAAATATTCAAATCCAAGTTCCATGGCAATTTTCATTCCTCAAATGCAAGAGGTCAAAGTTAGAGCAACCTCTCCCTTAGAACACTGTTCTAGGTAATTTTTCTTTATTTCTTTGTTTGCTGTTTTCCTTCCACTACGTAAGGAAAACATTAAGACATTCTAATGTCCTAGGCGGTAGCTCAGCTAGCTGGATGCATACTCCCTCCCCACCACACCCCACCCTACCCTACTCTGCAAACCTGTGGCAGCTTGGATCCTTAACCACCCACCTTTTTTGCTCTAGTAGTAATTACTTTTTTCCCCCCTACCCAGAGTACAGGTAGTTTCAGAAAGCAAGCAAAATGTAGGGCAGCAGATTTGCATCTCACTTCTTCAGTCTAGTGAGTGACTGTTGTGTGTTTGCCCAGGGGAAGCACCAAGAAAATCCCCGGGCAGCATGCCACTTCCTCTTTTCCTGGGATAGACAAGAGGCAGTCTTCACTTGGAGATGATGTTTCCTTCCTTTGGTATAGTTTCCTGGTCCTAACAAAGATTTATTAACAGCTGGGATCAAAGTTTGCTCAGGATTAAGAAAACATAGTTTGCTACAGTACAAGAAAATATATCCCATTACTATTCAATTAGAAAAAAAATTTTTTTTTGCTCACTTATTCTCGGAAAAGCATCATGTGAGGTTGTAGCATGGGAGTAAGAGATACCTTATAGTTATGTTCTTTAACAAA